TCCTACTTCACTCAAATGCATTTCCAATATTTTTAATCTTTTTTCTCTAGGATAATTTTTGTTTAATCAACCCTGGTAACTTTTATTGTAGTCTTCTCTTAATTTCTCATAATTTAAAGCAGGCTGAGGATGATAACCTTTTTGTTTTAAATAGGCTACAAATTCATAATCTTTAGGTTGAAATCCAATTTTTATTCATTCTTTTAGTTGCTTACCACTAAAATGCTTGCCTATCCATTCTAATTGTTCAGCAATTTCTTTAACTTTGCTTTCGGGTCTTCTTTCGGTAGAATAACTGATGTATTTTAAACTTTCGGGCAAGTGTTCAATACCATTGTTAACATCGGTGTTGTCGACATATAAACTTTTCAATTGCGTCAAATTTTTTAAAGGCTCTAGAGAACCAGAGAATTTATTGTAAATGTTTCGATCAAAATGGCTTTTGCTATTGCCACCGATTAATAGAGTCTTTAAATTAACCAATTGACTAAAAACAGATAAGTCTTGATTTGGTAAATTATTATCACTAATATTCAAAGAAATAAGTTTATCAGCATTTAAAACTGAATAATCAAAACTATTTAAGTAATTATCATTACAACTAATTCTTTCTAATTCTCTTGATTTGGTTAGAACTAAATTGGTTAATTTGTTAAAACTGCAGTCGAAATCTTTTAGTTGCAAACAATTACTCAAATTGATAGCACTTAGTTGATTGTAAGCACAATTTAATTTTTCTAAACTTACAAAATTACTTAAGTCTAAAGCACCTTCTAGGCCTTTTTTGCTAATGTCTAGTTCTTTTATTTTGCCTCTTTTTTCTTCAGTGTTATATTCTGCTTGACTTTCTAGTCATCGTTGAACCTTTGACATAATTTTTTGTATATAATTAAGTTTAACAATGCTTTATTGTACTGTACTCATTGAGTACGCTAATTTCCGCAGGACATACCAATGTGAAACTCCACTATCCAACCAAACATCCATAATATCTTGTCCTAAAATAGTTTTTTCATTTATCAAAGTTGGAAATTTTTCTCGTAAAAGTGGTAGAATACTACCATCAAATCAACCATCAGAACCACGATCAACAACTATTTCAGCAACACAATCAATAATTTCAGAATTAAGTATTGGCTCGCTATTGCGATACAAAATAGGAATAGGAACACCTCATTTTCTCTGGCGAGAAATACACCAATCCTCCCGAGCAGAAATTATTTGTCGCATTTTTTCTTTGGTCCAATTTGGATACCATTTTACTTTTTTAATATTTTCTAATAATTCTTTTTTGATGGCTTCTACTTTAATAAATCATTGTTTAGTTAGACGATAAATCAGGGGACTTTTATCCCGCCAATCATGAGGATAACTATGCGTAATTACTTCTTTTTTTGCTATTAAATTCCTTTTTTCTAAATCAGTTATAACATGTCTGTTAACCTCCGAATAATGCTTACCAATTAACTCCGGAACTCCAATTTTTTCATTAAATAAACCATTCGATTCTACCGGACAATCAACTATTAATTTTTCCTTTTTTGCCGCAGCAAAATCCTCAGCACCAAAAGCCGGCGCTAAATGAACTATCCCAGTGCCTTCTCCCTCCTCAATAAAATCACTTCCATCAACAATATATCCTTTTATATCTTTATGATAAGGGTGAAAATAATTTAATCCTAATAATTCTTCTCCTAAAAATACTTTTGCTACTTTTAACTTTCCCCCCTGTCATTTTTCTAAAAGAGGAATCTTGTTTTCCAGAATTATTAAATATTCATCATTATAACTAACTAAAGCATAAGAAGCCGTTTTTTTTGCGGCAATTAACTGATTAGCCGGAATAGTCCAAGTTTGAGTGGTTCAAACCAAAAGATTAATATCTTCTTGACCTAAAAAAGCAGGAGTTTTTGCTAACTTAACTTTAAAGTAAAGGGAAGTATCTTTTTTTGGTAAGTATTCTATTTCAGCTTCGGCCAGCGCCGTTTCGTGCCCACAAGACCACTGAATTGGTCTAAATCCTTGATAAATCAAGCCTTTTTTTACCATTTCGCCAAAAACTCGGATTTGTTCGGCTTCATAATTTTTATCCAGAGTAATATAATATTGATTATAATCAGTAAATAACCCTAACTTTTTTAATTGTTCTCGCTGAATTTGGGATTGTTCTAAGGCAAATTGATGGCAAAGTGGTCGCAAATCATTTTTTTTATCCTTATAAATTTGGAGCATTTTGTGTTCGGTAGGTAAACCATGAGCATCCCAACCAAGCAGAAAAGGAGTATAATTACCTTGCGAAGCCTGAAAACGGACAATTATATCTTTAATCAAAAAGTTTAAAAAATGTCCGATATGAAGTTTACCATTAGCATAAGGAGGACCCGAATGAAGGACAAAAGTAGGACCATTTTGATTTTTTTCTAATACTTGCTGATAAATTTTTTTTGACTCTCAAAACTCCCTAATTTTTTTTTCTGTTTCTAAGTGATTAGTGTTTTTCAGTGGAAAGTTAGTC